AGTGGATCGTTGGTCGAATCCACTTCCTGTTTTCACACGTTCTGATCTCCTAGAACTCATTTTTTTACTTGTTCCCAAACTTATTTTCCTTGTATCGTCTCATTGCTCTAAAGTTTATATTTTGGGAGCTAACAATTACCTCTTTTTTTTTGTACATCTCACATTTTGAAGCTTTAAGTTTTGTTTATTTTTGTCATCACTTTTACAAACAGTACCTGAACTTTCTGAGGTACCATGTGCTGCCTCTGCAGTAATGATCCAATTTGGGCTAAAACGGCCAACAAAGCACTGAGGCGTCAGCTGTGATTGGCAGCTGGAACATCGAGGAACATCGAGGAACATCCTCCGATGATGAAAAAGGAAAAAGTGACAACGAGAAGATGAATCTGTTTCTCACTCCAGAATCTGAAGCCAATGATGCAACTCGGTGCAAATCCTAAAAAAAAAGCATCGATGCCGGTCACATGACCATCCGTCCGTCTCCCGGATTCACTTTGATGATCTCACATGACCCCGACATTTCCCATTGGTAGAAACTGACGAGCGGCTGAGTGCAGCTGTCACAGATGTTAGCTCCTCGTGTTCAGACCGCCGCACCTGATCAACGCTAACGTCGTCCAATTTGTTCCCGGCGGGAAGTAATCGTTAGGAACACGATCGCACTTCAGGAAACCACTAGAGTTTATTAGTCCTTATGAAAAGTCAGATTTAACAGCCACGGGAGAAACTGCCGACGAACGCCGCCGTGAAATCCGTTTTACGGTTGGGCAGTAATCGTTTCTGAGTGTGAATCACGGACAACTCTCTTTTCTTTTGTTAATCCTGTCGTGAAAAAATAATTTCCTCTCTTCAAGGACTTCATCTGTCAGCTGGAGCTGAGAACGCCAGGACGCGTTCCAAAAATATAAACGCTCTGTTTTTTAAATAGCAGGTGTTTGAATTGGCATCAAAGGAAAAGATAAAAAAAGGAAAAAGAAAAAAAAAGAGTCCAACAGTCAAAGGACTAACGAGCTTCCTAAAAACACTACTGGAAGATTCCCAAATGTTGGAAACTGGAAGAACGTGGCCACGAGCCCCACATACATACAAAGTAGCAGGCGTGGGAGGAGGGGGGGGGAGGAAGGGGGAGAACAGGGGAGATAGGAGATCCTGAAAAACATATATTTAGAGGTGGGATTCAAACCAGTGAGCTGGAGCAGTAACTACCTGTCCTTGGTCTGTCTGCATGTAAATATATGTAAATGTTTATATATGTGCTCTACACATGCATATATAGAAATATATAGATATATGTATATATGTGTTTATCAATATATGTATATATATTTATAGTACATATAGGTATATATGTATATATATTCATGTACATATATATTCATACAGTATATTCAAATACATACATGTATGTATATATATATTTATATTTGTATTTATGTATATATTTATATATATGTAGATATGTTTGTGTGTATATGTATTCATAAATACCTTATATATATTTAAATACATACATTTATGTATATATATATATTTATATATGTATATTCGTGTTGGAAACTGGAAGGAGCTGAGAAAAGAAAAAAACGTTGAAGAAGAAGCAGTGAGTGATGGAGGAGACGACAGACGACAAATCAGAGAAAAAGAAAAGGAAGAAAAAAACTTTTTCTGTAAATTAAAATTAGCCGTTGACTCATTTCTTCTTCTGCCACACACACTTCTTCAGTTATTTATTCAGACCAGGGTGGGGTCACAGCCCGGTCCATGACGAGGTCACAGCCCCTCATTCACACCTGAGGCCAGTTTAGCGTAAACGGTCGACCTGGTCCTCCAACAGAACCCACTGGGGATCGAACCAACAACCTTTGTGCAATTTACAGTTTGTTCAGTTAGAAGTTCAGCGGGTGAAGCCCCTGACCAGGTGCATCATGGGAAGACGTGATGAAACAAGAGGAGGGAGCTCTCAGCAGAGCAGACTGATCAGCATGAAGAGTCAGGAGTGTGTGTTTTTTCAGGTGGGGG